AAGGGATTCGACACCTCTTGAGATACTGCAAGAATCAATTTTGGAGGAGAATCTGCCGCAACAAAGCGATCATCAGCCATTGATGCAAGATTCTATCAAAAAAGGTTAGCATGTTTATTAACTCAGCTGACCAATTAAAATTAATACACCATTGTAAATTTATAACTTTTTGTGCTCTAAGCTATACTTATAGAACATAAATGGTTTCCTTTAGACATAATGAACCCACCTTAATATACCTCCACATTGGTAACAGAGGAAGAGGGAGGGAAAAATGCAACTTTTGATACAATATCTTCGCCAAACGATCCACCAGAGCCTCAAGAAAGTGTAGACTCAAAATTTGATCAACCTGATTTGACTACAATTCATGCTGATCCACCTAAGTTTGCGGAGGAGACTAACGCTAACGCACAAGCTTTCCAGTCATATTTGGAATCTGGGGAAATGAATATTGTATAATATATGAGATACAGTTTTGGAAAACTTGACATATTTTATCTGTTCAATAATTCTTACTTGATAATACATTATGGTTTTAGTCAGGGGCAGATCCAGAAATTTCTGTTAGGGTGGGCCAAATGAAAACAAATTATACATAACATTCATATTTTGTCTTTCTAGTCAAAATTGTCACAAAAAGAAAAAAAAATTACATTTATTATTGTCCTCGACCGGGCTTCATATTGAGGAATCGTTGCATCACCATCTCCTTATCAACACTGTCAAATATATCTTTCTCAACATATGGAATTAGACTATCATTCAAGAATTGATCTCCTATCCCATTGCGTAAATGAGTCTTCACAATTTTCATAGCATAAAATATATTTTCTACACTTGCAGTTGCAACTGGTAAGATTAAAGCCAATGTGATGAACAAATATAAGTGTTTTTAACCCATTAAATTGACCTCGCATATTACTTGCACCATCATAACTTTGTTCACGTAATCTTGATATGCTCAAATTGTATTTAGAGAACAATGTTTCGATTCTCATCTTTAGTGACAAAGCAGTTGTATCTGTGACATGCATAATGCTCAATAGACACTCAACAATACATCCTCTTTTATTTACATAACGTAAGATAATTAGCATCTGTTCTTTGTTGGATCCATCACGAGCTTCATCAACTAATATAGAAAAAAAAAAAAGTATCTCCAAGATCACTAATTAGTTTGTTGATGGTTTCAACCGCAAATGCATTGATTATGTCTTTTTTTATACTAGGAGCAATCAAATTATCATGTCCAGGAGCATTCTCCAATGCTATTAATCTGTATTCTTCATTTTGCTCAGCTGTATAGTGTAAAAGTTCAAGAAAGTTTTCCCGATTAATTGAATTATCAGAGTCATCATGGCCACGAAAAGTCAATCCTTGCCGAAGAAGAAGCCGACTAGCAAAAATTGATCATTTCAATCGAATACGATAATCTTCTCGCTGTTGATCAAATTTCTTATTAATAATTGTACTCACATGCTGCTTTTGGTTCATCAAAGCTTGACAATTTTTCAAAGCTTGGTTATGATAGCTGTTAGGACCTCCAAATGATATTAAAATTTTTCAAGTCTCTCCCAATTGCGAAACCCATCAAGAACAAAAGAATCACCATCACTTTGCTCACATTTATTTGGTTTGAAAAGATAACAACATAAACAATATGCAGCATCATTTTCAACACTATATTGACACTAGAACAAAGTTGAGATGTTTTAGCAATTGACTTTCTTTTAAAATATTTTTCCATACCTAAATACAAGAAGATAAAATTATATAAATACAAAGAATCACGAATTGAATTCTATAATAACTATGGAAATTCTAAATTTTCCAACTTAAAGTTTTTCAATCTATCAACTTAAAGTCTTAAAAACTTAAACAATGTATAAAAATAAAAGCCTCATTGGGCTTATCTATATTTCTATTTCTATTATCTATATATTATTTTTCTTCCAAATTTTGAGACTATAAAACAATTATTTACCTATCATAAAATATCGGAATCTAAAAACTTCTTCTTTTTTTCTAAAAGATTTCTCAATAAAAAATTTAATGCACAATACTATTATGCTAATACATACTATACAAATAAAAGAAAAGCATTATATACAAAAAAAAAAAAAAGCACTAACCATAGAGAAAATAGTTGATTAAATTTTGTTAAAGTCTGAAATAAAAAGAATTCGAGAGAGCAACAGAGGAAATGTGCAAAAACATGAGGGACTGCCAGACAAGGGTTTGCAAATTGTAACAGTAGAGTAAGGTTTTACTTCTACAACTTTTATTAAAAAATTAGAGGTGGGCGGGGGGTCAAGTTTTTAGCATTAAAATAGAGAGTGGATCAAGACTTTTTAGTCCTAAATTTGAGAGTGGGCACATTTTTTAATATTTAAAAATAAAAATTAAGGGTAGAGCAAAGTCAAATAAAATAGAATTAATTTTTTTTTTTTTTTAAATTAAGTGAAGTTGTCCAAATGTCCAATACATATATGTCCATCCCTTGGCGGATTGTTACTTGGCAATATTCCACGTCGACTAACCGCTGATGTCATGCATGACGAATTAATAATCTGATTTTCTTGAACAAGAAGAGTGAGTGAATCTGAGTGATGACACAGATGAAATTGCCGTTTATCTTTTTGTCTAATTATAGTAATAATTTATTCTTAAACTAAAGCATATATAATTTATTATTTATTTAAATAATTAAGAAAAATATTAATATTTATTCAATTAATATAATAAAGATGTCGAATCTTATCACTAAATTCTATAATGAGTCTTTGATTCTGCTCATCAACTTCATTTGTAACTTGTAATTTATCAACATCAAGGATTTTAATTTGGTAATGATTAAAATAATTGGCAATAATATGTGGCTTCACATTAATTTGTTGCATAATTTTGTAATGATTAAAACAATTGGCAATCGTTTGTGGCTTCACATCAATTTGACTATATAACAACTGTATTTACAATTTCATCAAGGACACTTATCTTTGTTGGTTTTAAGACACGATTTTCTATCCGTTTCAAAAGTAGGTAATTGAAATGTTGAATTGAAATCTTAATAGTATTAAAACATCAATTGAAATCATAATACTGTACTACTAAAACATGATTTATAAAGAAGTCTTTGTTATCAGACCTCTATTAAATTATAACTTTGAATAAAATTAATTAATCCCACCATTATGACTATAGAGAGACTTTACTGTATATCAATTTTTTAAAAGTAAACATATGTTATGATATAGGCATTGCTATAACATCATTACTTTATTTATAAATTATTTTAAAAAGGATGACACATTATTTAAGATGTAAAATTTTGGATAAATTAAAAAAAAATAGTATTATTGATTAATTTTTAAAGAGGTTTTTTTCAATCTCTTTAGGGGGCGTTTGGTTGACGGTAATGTCAGATTATTGGGGTAATGTCATTTTATATTACTTGATTACCACGTTTGGTTGTCAAGTAATATAAGATTCCGGTAATCTTCAAATACCAATAGTAGTCACTATTAGTAATATTGGAGGTAATCTGATTATCTCCATTTTCTTAGGTATTCTGAGATTAACAAGGTTATCATTTTTTGTTACAATTTTATCCCTTATTAATAAAAAATTTGGACAATAATGCCCTCATTTAAAATAAATTTACATTAATATCCTATTTCAATTTTACCCTTATTTAACTAAAATTTTGGACAATAATGTCCTTGTATTTAAAACAATTTACAGACCACTGCCACTCAGCCACCACCACCACTGCCACCTAGCCACCACCACCACTGCCACCCAGCCACCACCGCCTACAGCAGCCAACCACCATGGACCGCCTCCGAAAACCCGCCGGAGTCCCAAAAAAAGAATGATTTTCAGTGGGAGGCTCCGGGAGTCAGCGATATGGCCGTTTTCGGCCATATTGATGGCAAAAAATGGCCATATCAGGCCAGATCTGAGTGAGATCTGGCCGTTAACGGCCACGGACCGGGCCGTTAACAGACAAATCTATTCCGGCCGAAATAGATCTGGCCGTTAACGGCCTGGTCCGTGGCCGTTAACGGCCAGATCTCACTCAGATCTGGCCGATAATGGCCAAGGATCTGGCCATTAACGGCCAGATCCATCGATCTGGCCTGATATGGCCGTTTTCGGCCATCAATATGGCCGGAAACGGCCATATCGAAGCCTCTTGGTCACGGTGAGTTGCTGATGGGGACTTTCGGAGACTTCCGGCGGTGATCTGCGGTGGCGGCAGGAGGTGGGGGTGATTTCGTAATAAATTAAAGTTTTATATAAACAGGGGTGTTTTAACTAAATCTGAAATATTGGGGGTTAAAAGAAATTATTCAAAAATTAATAATAAAAATAATATTATATTAATATTTGTAAAGGGGACACTTTAGTAATTTAAATAACATACACACCAATTTATTCCCCATAACCAACCATATTAATATAACATACCCACCAACTAACCAAACACATTTTCTTAAAGATTCTCAGTAATCTTTCAAGGTAATCTATCTTTCCAGTAATCCAACATTCCCAGTAATCTAACATTCCTGAACCAAACGCATAGCGGTATTCATTTTGAAGCCATTTGATTGGTGGCTTGGTTTTTAGTTGGGCTGATGTGGAATTTGACGTGGATGAAGTTGGTGCATGTGGGATTGGTGTTTTCATATTTACTTGGCAAAAGATTTTTTGTTTTTTCATTTTTTTTTAATATGCTTAGTAGCAAATAGAATCTAACAATAGTTTTAAGTAAATCTTTAGTTCCCATTTTTGTTTTTAAAACAGTTTTTGGTATTATTACAATAATCTAACAATGCTAATTGAGTAATTCAGTCATTGTTAGTAAATGATATATTTTCTGCATTATCATAACTCCTTCTAATATATAGTTCTGATTGTGATAATATAACATCAACATTTGAGGCATAACATCAACATTTACAAATCAAATAATTGTTGTCATGTATGGATTTTCAATATCTACCTCTCCACTTGAGATAGCTTAAAAATGGTTTATCTGGAACAGGTATGCACTTGACAAGCCAACCAATCGGCCAAGATGCAGCTGCGATACTAATACATGCCCTCCATTGACCCCAATTCAGTTTCTCAGTATCTGCAAACTTCTTCAGAAATTCCACCATCAATACTTGAAGAATGATGGTTATTGCGATGATTCCCAAAAACAACTTGTTCTTGTGTATCCCTTCAAAGATATTCTTCTTTTCAAGCTTCCTTAGGTTGAACTCATTGAAGATTTGGCAAAGGAAAAATATGTTGAAGATCATGGTGTCCTTTACCTTCTCATTAACACCAAAGATTGATTGGCCTCTGAACTGTAAGGTCAAGAGGATGACTATCTGATATAAAGCTTGACCTAGAATATTTCTCCACATAACATTGGTGATAAGCGGCTCGGTACGACCCACAGGTGGTTTGTCCACGAGCTCGCTTGTTGGCCGCTCTGTAGCCAGAGCAACGGCGCATAATGTGTCCATGATCAAATTCACCCCAAAATATGGGACTGCCGTTAAAGGTACTCCACGTCCAGAAACTGCTGTTACAGAGTTTATCACAAGAGCAACAAGATTTGCCGTAAGCTGAAACTGAATGAATTTCTGGATATTGGTATGGACACATCTTCCCCTTCTCAAAATTCTGGCTACAGAACAAAAATTATCATCCATGACGACAATATCTGAACTCTCCTTGGCTACTTCAGTCCCTTGAATCCCCATAGATAGTCCAACATCTGCTTCCTTCAGAGCTGGTGCATCATTTGTGCCATCCCCAGTGACTGCAACCATTGTCTATGACCTCAGTGCTTGAAACAGAAAGGTCACGTGGTTGCAGTCACTGGGGATGGCACAAATGATGCACCAGCTCTGAAGGAAGCAGATGTTGGACTATCTATGGGGATTCAAGGGACTGAAGTAGCCAAGGAGAGTTCAGATATTGTCGTCATGGATGATAATTTTTGTTCTGTAGCCAGAATTTTGAGAAGGGGAAGATGTGTCCATACCAATATCCAGAAATTCATTCAGTTCCAGCTTACGGCAAATCTTGTTGCTCTTGTGATAAACTCTGTAACAGCAGTTTCTGGACGTGGAGTACCTTTAACGGCAGTCCCATATTTTGGGGTGAATTTGATCATGGACACATTATGCGCCGTTGCTCTGGCTACAGAGCGGCCAACAAGCGAGCTCGTGGACAAACCACCTGTGGGTCGTACCGAGCCGCTTATCACCAATGTTATGTGGAGAAATATTCTAGGTCAAGCTTTATATCAGATAGTCATCCTCTTGACCTTACAGTTCAGAGGCCAATCAATCTTTGGTGTTAATGAGAAGGTAAAGGACACCATGATCTTCAACATATTTTTCCTTTGCCAAATCTTCAATGAGTTCAACCTAAGGAAGCTTGAAAAGAAGAATATCTTTGAAGGGATACACAAGAACAAGTTGTTTTTGGGAATCATCGCAATAACCATCATTCTTCAAGTATTGATGGTGGAATTTCTGAAGAAGTTTGCAGATACTGAGAAACTGAATTGGGGTCAATGGAGGGCATGTATTAGTATCGCAGCTGCATCTTGGCTGATAGGTTGTCTTGTCAAGTGCATACCTACTCCAGATAAACCATTTTTAAGCTACCTCAAGTGGAGAACTAGATATTGAAAATCCATACATGACAACAATTATTTGATTTGTTAAAAAAACCAACATTCATTGTATTATTTAAATTTAATCACTTTATATATATATATATTTTTTTTTTTGGGAATTGAATTTTTTTCTTAGTAATTTTTATATTTTTGGGTATTGATCTCATCCTAGTTAAAAATAATCAGAAATTTCAAATAGTAAACTTGGTTTCCTTCTTTTGTTTATCTTTGTTATTGACTTCGTCCCCATGTGCTATATTAGCTAACAAGGATAACAGTTTACCATGTTGTATTGCGTTTTAAAGAAAAGGCTGATTATGTAAGTAAAGATATATGGTTCTTTTCCAATTCTCTGCTGCCAAGTCTTTCATTGTCTATGACCGTAATAAGAATAAAAAATTAAATAGATTCAGTTATTCTACCATATTGAGTGTGTGAAATTGTTCTGTTTTTCAACCTATCTAACCACAATACCCTCTTGGGCAACAAGTATCTAACTATTTTCAAAGTAGTAAACCAAGAGAAAAACGGTAGAGTTACCTTCATCTTTTTCAGGTTGGAAACATTTCTACGAAACTGAAATTTTCAAATTCAAATGCTTCTGGATTTGTGCTCAGAAAATTTCAGGTTCTCAAACCATGTGTCCAATCAATTAGCTGAAACTAAGCAACAGAAGAAGAATATAAAGGAACAAATTTAGTATCAGAGTACACAAGAAGTAAATACAATTAGACAACAAAACAAAACTGACATATATGTAACTGAGGCCATGAAAAATCGAGATGGGTCATAGTCTCATAGGTCTAGCGAATCAAAACTCTTATAAACATGGCTACAACATATCAGTTTGTAATGTGGCCTTTCTCCAAATACAGTTCTGAATTCAGTCGAGAAAATCATCTTAGATGATTATAACTGAATGCATACCAAAAAGCAAAAACCAACCTCCAGAGTTGTTGCATGAAAGGAAAAAAAATTGTAATTTTGTCGAACACATAACATAGTCCCATTAATGTAACGAAAGTAATTACTCCACAACCCAAATCGATATTATTCGCAAGCAAACAAAACAATTAATCAACTTTTTAATAGTTATATTGATGTTTTCATTCAAAATTGAAAAGAAAAATTGTCAGTTTTTGTGGGTTAACAATGAACTAATTTAATTGCTCGAGGATTGAAAACCATAAAGTGTATGATATTAGATAACTTTAACAACTGAAAATTGTTGATAACGTACTGTACAAGTTCATTATTGTTATGCCTGAAAAATATAGAGCTGACGTAAGGTCCAGTAAGCATGCGAAAGATAGTATGAGTGCACCCACAGCCGAGTCACGTGAAGGAAAGGGCGGCCTGCTTCTGTCAGAACAGTAGGTGTACGCCAGACCAGCCAAAAGTTGTGATGATCCCATGTGTCCAATCCCTGCTCCAAATCGCACAAATCACTCTAGAAGATGGGCAATGTGACATAAAAAAGGATTTGCACTGATAATCCCACCAACTTACAGATTCAATGATCATTACCTCAATTTGTGCGTGTCATCCCACTATAAATTGGGAGCCACTCTCTCATTTGGGGGATTCACTCATTTTTACTCTGGATTAGCTATTCTCTCCCAAGGAAAAACATCATTCTCTCTCTTGTACTATCACTCAGTGAGTCTTTTGTAAGTCATTTGTAAGTTAGTCCACTAACGCGACCTGACTCTTATCATTAATACAAATATCAGTGGACGTAGGATTTGCTACCTTAGCATCCAAGCCACTTTAAAAGCTCTCTCCCCATTGCATTTATTACTACTTTTATTTATATCCACGTGTGTCTCTTGAGTCAACTCAACGTTTCACACGTGCTTTTTCGTTGGTGCCAAAATCACACATCAACAATTATTTTGTCAATGTTGAACAAGAACAACTATTCTTCACAGAAAAATCAGAAGATGCTTCTAAAGAATCACCATGCACTCTGCAATTACCATGCACTATGCACGTTGGAGACAAAAGGCAACAATCATAATAATCTATGGGATGCACACAGTCAGGAAAAGAGAAGGCCGTTACCGAGATAATGTAATGAACAAATTCGTTGACAACTGATCAAAGAAGCTTATTACACCGAATCTGGAGCCAAAGTCCCCTTCCCTTCACTGGAAATTCTCTAGGAAATGCAGCAAAGTGAAGGCAAGTGTTTAAATGTCCTTAGTCAAGTGAATATTCGCCTATTATAAAAGAGGGGATATTATCAATTTAGGTACAAAGTTTTCAGATTCATTTGTAGAATGATAAAAGTTATAAATCATTCAATTCAGATGTATTTAACGGTTTGCTGTTAACTTTGACTGAAAATTACAAAATGACTCTTATAATCTAAATTTAAAAAAAAAAAGGCCATGAAAAATCGAGACGGGTCATAGGTCTAGCCAATCAAAACTCTTATAAACATGGCTACAAAATATCAGTTTGTAATGCGGCCATTCTACATATACTGTTCTGAATTCAGTCGAATAAAAATATCTTAGATGATTACAAATAGTTCAAAATGTATGTATACCAAAAAGCAAGAAGCAACCATAGAAAGAACCAACCTCCAGAGTTGTCGTATGAAAGAAACAAAAATTGTAATTTTTTTCGTCGAACACATAACATAGTCCCATTAATATAACGAAAGCAATTACTTCATTCTTATTAGGGTGAGCCAAAATAAAATATAATAACATATAATATTTATATTCTATGTTTTTAGTTGAAATTGAAATAAAAAAAAAAATTACATATAAATATTTTTTTTTAAATCATGGCCCACCTTCAATATACTCTAGATCCACCCTAGTATATATATATGCTACACTACATAAAAAATCATATAGTAAGTCAATATTATATATCATTTTTATCATATATATATATGGTATGTAAAGATATATATAAACGATGGAATATATGGAGAATGATGCACGTGATAGTATAACATGTATATTCATATTTTGCAAAAAAAATTCAATCAAATTGAAAACAAGTAAGGTATAACTTGTTACCTCAAGTCTTTCGCAACCTTGGAGACTTTTAATTTCAAGAGAAATTAAATAAAAGAGTATCCACACTAAGGTAAAAGAAGAATTAGGTCAAGAAAGTTTGATCTCTACCCTGAAATTTATATATAATTTTCTTTATATATGTAGTCTTGTAAACAATTCAATAATTATTTTAGACTTCCTTAAACAATTCCGTAATTGTTTTTGTAGTTATAAATAATTCCATAATTATTATGAAGTTATTAAACTTCTTTAAATAATAATATTGGATTCACATTTAATCATAATTAACAATTTAACTTTTAAATTGTTTACATAACAATTTAACCATTAAATTGTTCACATGTTTACAATTTCAATAATTTAACATTAAAAAAAATGATTAATTATGAATTGGAATTCCATTTAATTCTAATTAGCAATTTAACTCATAAATTATTTATAATAACTAATATAACCCTCCATTGAATCTAATTCAATGATAATAATATAAATAACTTTATTACTCTTGGTAAGTGCTAGCCAACCTAAAATAATCAACTCTCTTTGGCTATTTTTCTATTCTCTTTAGTTTTTATGTGTGACCTCTTAAGTTCACTGTAGCCTAGTTGTGGGCCCAATATCATAGTCTATTTCAATATGCTTTGTCATAAATCTTTATAAACAAAACTCATACCGATTATGGTAGACATCTAACAATGCTCAATAACTCCTAAGTCACAATAAAGATATACTCCAATGAACCTTTTTATAATCATACGCATTGTATAATCAAATCATTTCGTTGTTTAATCCTAATTAAGAATGGATTCATGGTGTGTCAAAATCCTTATCTTAATTTTATATCAAATTGACAATTAATACATATGGAACGTGTCGCCATGAAACAACCTTTCAAGTAACATTTTATATACCCCGACCGGAGATTTCCCTTTTCCAATGTATTTTGACATTTGTCCAAGAACTTGATATCAATCTATATCAAGTCAATGGATCCTAACTTGACTATCACTTGTCCTCACACATAAACAACACATGGCCAAATCGGCTTATTAACACATGATATGATTAGCCTCATGTTTATACACCATATGAACCTATGCGTTTATGCAGAATCTAACCGTGATATCTCAGGTCTAAGGATTAATAATACATTAGTATGATCTTATGATAAATCATTGACTACATTTTAAATGTCCATGTGATTCATCATAAATGACCATATTCGATAAACAGTTCACTAATCGTTGATCTATGTTAATGCTCTAGTGATATAACTTTTATAATCACCCACACTAATACCATCACACAATATTATACGGAGGCATGCATCATGCCCACTATGTAATATTATTACCCAATTAATATTACTTATGTAAGGAATACTTTGATGATTCTGATCTTCTAAAGATTTGTATCATCTAAACATTTCACATGTAATACATATATATAAATGAAGCAATAAACCATATGTAAAATAAGAACACTTTCTTTTATTGATAAGATAAAATGTATATACAAAACATATACATTAACATATATACAAAACATAATGCCTTGGAACCGACGACATGATTGGTTCCTAGGGCATACACTAACAATACATGACATGTAAAGATATGTATTATTAATACTTGATTTTGACACCAACGACTCACATGTGTAAAGTGCTAAGCGGATTTAGAAATTACATGTGATATGAAAATATGTTGCGAGAGAATAAATAAGAAGCGGTTTTTAAAATGGTTTGGATGCTCAAAAGCGAATCTTACGTCTACTGTGGTTGTATTAATAGGTGGTTACAATTAGGTCGCATACAGCTAGCTGAATTACAACCTAGAGAGAACTCAAATATATATATAATTATATCATATATATAATATAATATATCGAGAGAGAGAGAGAGAGAGAGAGAGAGAGAGAGAGAGAGAGAGAGTATGCTTTTGAAGACTAAAGATGAGTCAATCTCGTAAATGAGAAGGGAGTCATCTATTTATAGTTAAAAGATTCAAGGTAGTAATCATGATTCGGTGGTCCGACATGTGTAGTACAGTTCATAACCCGCTTCCCATTGGTTGTCTGAATGGGAGACATCCTTAAATCGTGTAGGGCTTGGGTAGGTGGACAATTCCTAGCCACTCACAAGCCTAACATTCACCTGCTACACTGACGATAACTTTATCTCTTCCATCATTGTGTGATGTGGTAACGTCTAGATGACATAAAGTCTTCTTGAACTCTAATTGACCTTTGTTGGCGTGAGCTAACGTCAGCCTTGATTTTTTAGACATAACATATATATTGTCATATATACTCAGTACTACATATGATACACTATATATAAAATCACATAGTATATGCAACATGTAAGTATACTCAATTCTAAAATGTGAAATACAACATGTAAAGATAAAGGTATATACATGGTACACTATATATATGACATGTATATATATGCTACACCATTTAAAAAATCATATAGTAAGTCAATATTATATACCATATTTATCACGTATACATATATATATATATATGGCATATAAAGATATACATTACATGTAAAGATATATAGTACGTTAATACTTCCAAGATTTCGAAAACATGCCTTAAAATTTAATTTACAGGCTTAATGATGAGAGAGAGAATGAAATAAAATTTGAAACTGTCTCATCATTGAATCGTTTTTTTACTCCTTAATTCACCAAAGGCAAATAAATTTTTTTATACACAGATCACCTTATGATAAGTTACATATATCCTTATTTAATCTGCATCAATTGATCCACCCAGCATTTTCCTAGATATTAATTGGGTGTATTTGTTTTATTATTTTGGATAGAATTTTGAGAATAATATTGGATAGTTGAATGGGGGAGTATTACGAGGTAAAATTTAAGAATTCTAAAAAACCCATAGGTTTGTTAATTTAACTAAACACCCTAATATATAAAAATTTTGTAAAATGATAAAAACACCCCCATTACTCATAGTGCTAGATTTCGGCCACCACCGTCGGAATCTGACAATGACGACTATTTCTTTGGTCGTCGTTGATGGTCAGATCGATGAATTACCGACTTTTTTCGGTTGTGATGTAGGCTATTGTAATAGATTCCACTACCACCAACGGTGATTGTCGGAATCTGAGAAGTATGATTTGGGGGTGTTTTTATTATTTTTTAAACTTTTTTATGAGGGTATTTAATAAAATTAATAAACTTAAAGGGTCTAAAAATAATTAAAAACCTATAATAATATTTTTTAAATAATGTGCCAAACAATATTTTGGAAATATGATTGAAAATACAGATAATAATAAACAACTAAACGCACTCTTCGTTTTAACTCCTCACAATTTCAAATTTAAACTCTGCTTGAAAACCACACTCCTGTCCTTTCAGTTTGCTCCGCACTCCACTCGCGCAAACCGTCAAATAACAACAAATCCAACGTATCACATCCACGATCTCCGTGAAACCCAATCCAACGCTCCCAATTCAATCAGCAATCCTTGAACCCACTATCCGCGTGACTTTCTTTCCGCCAATCAAAATCCGTATTCCTCTTTATAAGTACCCCTAAAATCCATTTCCCTCCACTAACAATTTCAGAGCAATTAATAAATAAAAAAAAAACCCTATTCTCAGTTTGTTTGAAATTGCAATGGCTCCCGTCACAGCGAAGACGTCGAAGGAAGGAACTGCAAAAGCAAAGAAAGCGGCATCAGCTCCGAAGAAACCCAGGGCTCACCCTCCTTACTATGAGGTAATCTTCGTTTGATTGATTTGTTTGTACGCCCTTAGATCTGTTTTTGACGTGTGTGATTTGAAATGCGTAGATGATCAACGAGGCGATAACTGCGTTGAAGGAGAGAACCGGTTCGAGCCAGATCGCGATTGCGAAGTTTATTGAAGAGAAACAGAAGGCTAATCTTCCTAACAATTTTAAGAAACTGTTGCTGGTTCAATTGAAGAAGCTCGTTGCCAACGGCAAACTAGTCAAAGTCAAGAACTCCTTCAAGCTACCGCCTAAAACTTCCTCTACCAACGCCGCCACCTCAGTAGCCAAGAAGCCGACAACAGCCTCGACCAAATCCACTACCGTGGCGAAGAAGCCGAAAACTGCCTCGACCAAAGCCGCCTCTAAGAAGGCAACTTCTTCCTCCGCCAAGCCCGTTGCCAAACAGTCGAAATCTGCCTCCACAAAACCTGCCGCAAAGAAGTTGAAGCCCAAGACTAAAGAAGTGGCGGTTAAGTCGCCGGGGAAGAAGGTGGCGGTTGCGGCTAAGGCGAAGAAGCCAAAGAGCATAAAGTCGCCAGTTAAGAAGGTTGCGGCCAAGAAAGGGAAGAAATGAGCGGTTTGTCTGTATTGGTAGATTTGTAAATTTGTTGACGATTCAGCGTTTGTCTAGGCATTAATGTATAGCTTCGGCTTGGTTTTAAACTCTTTGTTTGACAGGAATGCTAATGTAGTTGAGTCGAATTTCTCATAATTTGAATATTGTGTTTGAAATTGAAGATCTACAATACAATTAAAAAAAAGGGGTTTTAATCAGTCTGAAATTCTGAATCATGGAAAATCAAAATTCCCAAGAAAGTGAAACAAACTTTAACATTTTTCCATTTTTTGGATGGAATTTCTTAACTCCAGTTGAATGCTGGCTCTTGAAGGGAACAAAACGATGTCTTTCCATACAGAGCCGGGTTTAAATATCGGGTTCGGATCTCCATAAAGTTCGTATACGGATTCTGCTTTGTCATTCAAGGTGCTCACTGTTGTCAAAGACTTGATATCATCAGGATCAACGAGAAGCTTTGAATCTCCATCTTTCCAAGCTATGAGCTGCATTGCATTTAATATGTTAATGAAATGATTTCATTTGGAACTAAATTGGATGAAATGGTTTTGTTTTGTATGTGAATTTACCCTTGGTGGCCCGCCTACAGCATTGGTGCAGTAAAGCCTGGCGTTGTCAACAAATTCGACATATCTTGGAAATGCACTTGCAAATCTTTTGTGAGATTTCAATTGTGAATTCACCCTCACTGCTCTTTTCACCATTATCGCTCTCCTAAACACAGTTAATAAAATTTTGCATTTGAATTTATGCTCCAAAATATGCAGATTTTTTTTTTTTTTTTTTTTTTTTTTATGAGAATAGGGAATTGAAGATGTAGATTCATACCTGATGCCTCTAACAACAGCTAGATAAGCATCACAAACAACTCCAGCCAACTCTATTCTGTATGGTTTCCTGGAAGCAACACAATTTTTCTGGACTTCATCTTCTTCAACTTGTTCCCAGTAATTTTCAGTAATGCTACCATCCTCATTTACTTTGTATCCGACACCCATTCGATATTTATGCTTATGAACATTCCTTGCCATGGCGATTGTCTGCTCAACAAATGGCTCCCATGAGAGGGTACCATCCATAATCACATCTCTCCCTTCATTCAGTGCCGTGACTAGCAGTGAAGATGCTGCATCCGTGGAGGATTGGTGGACCTGAATCAACCCCAATGTATTAGATTAAGGATATGAATGTTAAGACATTACATTCTAAAGTGTGTGTACAGTACCAGTTCAGCAGTTTGAAGCATGTCAGCATGATGCCCCATAGAGCTAAGGGCTCTGTAAATAACATCCGTCTCTTTGAATGCATCTGCCTCTACTACCACTGCATTTGTTGCCGCTACTGACCAGAATGGCCTGTCACATTCCAATGCAAATAGTATCCATTAGTCACTCACTCTGTATCTGAATGTATATTCATCGCCTTGGGCCGGCTCAAAATCCAAAAGTAAGCTGGGCGGGCCTATTGTATAAGGATAACATTAAATGCCAAAAAAAGTGATTTGATCTTGATACATGTTTCACGTCTCTTCTGACAGAGCTAGTACTACTACTGACTACTGAAATTATATAATACGACAAAGAAATATATAGCGGAAAAGGAGAAGTTACTCTTTCATAATATCTTTGAGGACAGTGCTCTTGCCAGCTCCCATGCCACCACCCATGAGTAGCAGCACCGGACTTCTCTCACTGAAGGCAACCGGAGCCATGACGTCCGTGCACTTGGATTCGCCGTCGCCTCGAATGGCCTTAATCTCTCGTACTAACGTAGAGAAAACCCTTGTCATCTTCAAATCTTTAGTCACCTTCTCAAATCTCTGTTTCCTATCACATCAAATTAGGCATCCATCTTTATAAATTAAATAAATAATAATACGGATAAAGTAGAGGGTACTTTAATGGTGATACACTAATTGTCCATAAGTGATGTCAGTCTCCACCGACTACAGAAAATAATATATAAAAATGGATAAGAACGATACAAAGTTGAGTTAATTATATAAAATATACTATCTAAATGATGCAAATATAACACGTTTTATATCATATACTTATTTAATTAGGTAAAATATGCATGATTCATATGCATTTTAACTCTTTAATTAATTGAAGGCAAAAAATGACCTTAATTCAACTTTTAAGAAGGGCGTTGCGAATTGGAGTGTAGCCAGGATGTTAATGGCGTCAAAAGATTTAAATAATAAACATAAAAAAATTATCAACTTTACAATAAAAAATATATTGAAAATAATAAACATAAAAAAATATAATTTTAAAACTTATACATACTAAATTATCAACTTTATAATAGTCTTCGACGATTTTTCATATTTTAAAAATATTATATAATTATTTTATTAACAGTATCATCAAATATCTCTATCTCAATTTTATATTTTAATTTCAAATCTATTTATTAAACTCAATAAAAACTGAACATTTTATCCAAAATTAACTAAACCTAACTCATTCAACATATAATTATGTTAATTATATACATAAAATGATAAAAATAATCGAGGACAACTTAACTTATGATCTTTCATCAATTAAGAAATATGGAAGAATAGATTTTTAAGCAAAGTAACAAAAAATGAAAATCATCTTACCGTAAGACCTCTAAATGAGTAATATTTTTTGATTAATTCAACCAAAGAAAGAAGAAAATATGAGAAAAGATGAGAGGAATTAAGGAAGAAAACGTGAAAAAAAATATGAGTATTTTAGAATCCCGATACCAATAAAATATAGAAATACCATAGTGAGGTCAATAAAATATGGGTAATTTTAACAAGTTCAAAATGATTAATTACTATAAAATAATACCTATTTTTAATAATTTTAAAATTTTAGTGGAGTCATTTGAGCACACTTAAGTATACTTTAACTGCACCCTGCTGTGAACAAAAGTCATGACTCGTGAACGTGATTACGTTATAAATAAAGATTGCCTCGTAACTTTATTTTATAATTTTTATCTTCCAATCCTGATGTAATAGTTCATAATTAATTAATTTATAATTGGATAGATAATACCCATTTATAAGCTGACTAATTATGAGCTGTTATATCAAGATTGTGAAAAAAAGTTTATGAGATTGAGTTATAAGTATAATACTATTGTCTTTAAATTATAATACATAAAAGAATTCAAAATAAAGTCATACTGGAATTTAAAGCCACATGCAATTGGGATCATTTATAGAAATGGGTCCATGCATGGAGTGTGATTATAAGATATAATATTGGTAATAAATGAACCAATTGATTATATTATATGGTTTGATTATATTATATGGTTTGCTGGTGGACCTTACCATTCAAGCTAATCTTGAAAATAAAATAGAAAACAAATTTGGAAGGGCAATGAAGGAAATGGAAAGTCACCTTGTTGCTGCCATGACGAAGTTCTTTAACTTTGTTTTATTCTGATCAGATTCAACGCTCAGAACCTGCAGCCACGCCCCAAATTTCAACCCAAAAAAAAAAAAAAAAAAAACCAGAACTTAAAGAAAAACAGTTATTATGTTTGTTCTTGATTTTCTATTTTAACTTACTTGACTGATCATATCAGAAGCGTGGCTCCAATGAAATGCAAAATAACTGAGAATGCATCTGTCAAACTCTTCTATCAACTTCACACAGAGAGATTCACCCTCTGGTTCATTAGCGAAAAATTCATAGACGCTCTCTTCACACCCTTTTGTTTTTCTCAAATAATCATAAGCTAATTTGGATAGCCGAGGACATTCATTTGCATCCGCAAACCCCATCTGCCTCGCTGCACCGATTCATAATATTATATATAAGATTAATAGAGCTAGACAAAAGAAGTACAAGTGAAGACAGGAGAAGTCTTATTTTATGTTAAATATACCAACGTAATGTGAAAATCTTTCAAGTTTTCCTAGACGGCCGGATTTCGTTCTGTCTAGGCGTGGAATGATATATTGGTCTTCTTCTGCTTCCTCCTTGTATCGGTGCCGGTAATGATTGGCTGCGGCTACCGAAATGGCTCCGATGAAAGAAGCAGCGAGGATGCGAGAGATTATAATCTTGCCATTCTCACCATCTAATCAAAGTTGAATAGAGATTAATTAAGTTGACAAAAAAAAAAAAAGAAAAAAAAAAAGCGCAGAAAGTGAATTTATATTGAGCTAGAAAGCTTACCAGGCTCCATCTTAATTTCTTCCAAATTCAGACAATCTGATCTCTCTGGAAATGGAATCGAAATTTACTGAGCTTGTTGAAGGGAGGCGATCGGATAAATCTCTATTTTGTTTGACGTTGACTTGTGGGGTCATTTTTTATTTTCATATATCTACGGAAAATAACTTGCACTCCATCAAGTCCCAATATCAATTTCTCCCTTTGTTTCTATCATTAAAATTGATGATGGAGTTTTTTTTTTTTTATATTAAAAACATATGAAACTAAAAATTAAAATATTACCGAAATATGAATTTATATTTTAGTAAAAATAAAAGAAAGGATACATGGTGGTCCTTTTTATTTAATTTTACATTTGTGTTTTTATTAAAAATAAATATTTTAAATGTAATAATTTTGGAGGGTGAAACATTTTTATTTTTTTTAAAATACATTTTCTTCTTTTAACTACCATTAGTGCATGATGATATGTTATTTAAGTCTTGGATGGCCCGTTGTTGTGTGCAAATAATCAATTATAAGATATTTTCAAGATGAATTGTTTAATAATCCAAACCGACACCGGATATATATAAATAAAGAGTAGCTGTCCACTCTAATATTCTCTATGTTTTTCAATTTGATGTAGACTTGGGGCCTAAACAATTATAATATCAAATTGTAATATTTTATTTTCATATTTTAAGGGGATGATCGTGCGAAATGTAAAAATCCCCTTCTGCCCATTTAAAAGTTGCATCAGGGAATGTAAATCATTCACCAAGTTACCTAAATTTTTCTTCTCTGATTTGCTGTTTTCCCAGCATTAGATTGTCTGTCTTGTACAATATAAAAAACCGATTCTCTTCTCTTTTGTATTTTTTTTTTCTTTTTTGATAACTAAAGTGTGCGGGTTAATTGTCTATACCTCAACTGATCTTTAGGACTTATTAAATATCCTACAGGTTCGATATTCTAGATAAGTCACAAATATGATATGTGACCTTAAAGTGATTTGAATCCAAGAAATCAATTAAGGGAATATTGTTTAGGATTCTTCTTTTATATTTTATAATATCAAAACCTTTTGGACTTAATTAATAATTAAGTGAAATCATTCACATGACTTTGACTAATTAGGCGTCATACTTACATTAAAGCTGAAAAGTTGGAATATGAAGTTGATGAAGGTGGGCATTTGAGATTGGGTCCAAAAACCCAACCTAAAAACCTATCTTAAGAGACCTGATTTCAAAACGGGACCAGGCCAAAGAATGAGGGCCAATTTTTTTAAATATTTTGTTTTAGTCTTTGTACAATCTTATAATTTTTAAATAAACATAAATTATAGGGATTAGAAGAATTTAACAAAATTTATTATTTATATATATATATCTAGATATAATTAATAAAAGTTATAAATTTTACTCTTAAAAAATACTAAAAACCCTCCTACAAAATTTCATTTGTCCTTAAATATAAAAAAAGATCAGGGGAAAAAAAAATTTCAAACTCGTAGGACCGATCCAGGTCCTAAAATTACTCATGGTCCATGAGCGACTGGTCTCATTTGAACCAGTCCCAAACGAGTCTAGGCCTAGGCCTGCCTGGGACGGGTCCTTGACTAGCTCTAGATGAACCATTTATTCTTAATATCCCGTTGATTGGGTTCACTTAAAATATGATTAATTGGTAATTCAGGATATTAAAATCTTAAATCCAAAATATTTTAACGAAGAACAGTTGTGTCAACCCCATCTTCTACGTTTTCAATGGGATGGAGACTTTGGCCTAAACCATTATAATTACTTTTGCATAATATTAAATTATTTGGGCTATTTTATTAAATTTATAAACGCTTACTTTAATATACAAATTAAGTAGGTTATTTTCACATGTGAAATATATAAATTAAAAAAAAAAAATTGTATACAATTGAATCTCTTAAACTCATCAAACCTAACTCAGCCAAGTATCTGTTAACACTTATACATCTACATCCCTAATATTTTTCTCTCTTCTAATTTTATTCTTAATTCTTCCTCACAAGGACTCTTGTCACCACTCTTTGCAGTTGCACACCACCATGCCATCAGCTCTTCCTGCAAAATCTCATGTCAGTAACTAGTAAGGTTTGGCATGACATGGCTTTTGTTGCTTATTGATTATGGTTTTAACTACTATTTCCGCCCAAATAATGACTTAATGACACTTTTTTAATCACAGACTTTTAAAATAATCACTTTACTATCCAAATATATGTTCTGGTAGCGAAAAGAGAACAAGCTTAGTCCAGGTTATTAGGATTTTTTAAGAAGGGAGGTCAATGAGTATTTTTGTGGTTGAAGATTAGATTTTAGTGCTTGGAGTTTATCCGAATTTGAATTGGGAGGGCAGTTGCGCAACCCCTAATCGCTCGATTACCGACAATCGGCGGGATCAACATGAGTAAGGTTTGCGGGGTTTTGGTGAGTGATGATCGAGGAAAAGAATGGTAATGGTGTAGGGTCGCAATGATACCGGATTCAGAAACGGAATATAAATTTGGATAGTAAAGTGGTATTTTAAAAGTCTGTGGATGACAAAGTGTCATTAAACTATTATTTAGGTGGGAAAAAGTCGTTTACTCTTGTTTTAACACATAAAACAATACTAAAAGAATGCATGATCATGAATGTAACATATTGACTCTCAACCATAGAAGTTCCTAAATCAAATGAATTTTTACCTCGAGGAAATCATGGTTGGAGATATATTGACTCTCTACCAAGCAGTTGATCCCTCCTACATTCACCGATATTGAATTTTTGGAACTCCCTCTCTCTGCCCCTGAAAAGTCCAAAGAAAAACAAGTTGGAACACCATGGAACATGAATCCTTATGAGAGCTTGGCATGAAAGACTGCAGATATACAACATAAATCTTTTATCCATGAAACAAAATAAATGAATTCAAGAATCAAAATTTAACTCGAGATATATACCAGTTATGCAAGCCACATAATATCCGGTTCCTCCTAGTCCTTCTTCCCACTTCCCCAGCCGCAAACGCAGAAAAAATCCGTTTAGATGTGCAAGAGACATATGAGAATTCATCCATCTGATCCCACGCAAAGTAGATATAAGTATTGGGAAAAGAATAACTTAAAATGGAAATATCCAACTTTTGAGGATTTAATAAGGACGAATAGGAACAAACTGAGAATTACTCCTTCAAGTGAATCCCTGTGAGATCAACATCAAGGTCTGATTCTTTTAGGTTCTACGAAATTAGACTTTAAAAAAGTTTATTCAAATCTAAGGATGAAACCGGAAGCATGTGTTATGTGATTTGATAACGTTTCATCAGAATAGGAAATGTGCAACAAGAAAATGAGAAGTTATAATGCCATATGGTGCAAATCAGAAATGGTACAAATACACTCCTGTTATTTTCGATATCAACTAGTTACCTTCATACAATCTACATCCTACCAAAATGCTTAATTAAGCCATAGTGAAAGCTCTGATTAAAAAAAAAAAAAACAAAGAAACATTCCATTTCCGATTACAGGTGAGTGAGTATCATGCGATGATGCCTAAAAGCTACCATGAAGAGTACAAACGGGAAACAATCTAAAATGGCACAACAAATGCAGTCAGGCTATCTATCCTATCTTAAAATTTTACTTATTTTTGATGCTTTGAAGTAATTGAAGGTTGGAAATATGTTAAAAATGAGTATTTCTGAATTCATTCAAATGCAGATCCTGAAAGATGTTTCACTTGCCATATCAGGTGCCAATTATTTGCCATCACAGAGTGCAATTGAACTAGTATTATGTGAGCAAGCAAATGTAGTTCTTAAGAAAATGAATATAATGATGATTGGCTGATAAGTGGTGTACTTACTTGAGGATGTCTGACCGAGATAAACGAAGCCCTTTTATGACATCAAAGATGCCCTTCGGTACCTCTGAAATCTGGTTGTTGACAAGATTGCATAAAGGCATGATCTGGTTTTCTTTCAACTTGTTTCCCCCAGAACTTGAAGGAATGTAATCCTCTACCAAATTTGCATTAGTAATCATTCTATCAGAGGTTGCAACTATAGTCATTTTCAACTTAATGTCAGGATCTGTCTCTATCCTTGGATCATTTCGATCACAAACTGTATGTGCTCCACATGCTTGAAAAGGGCTTCTATTACTATCCAACAGCTTTGTACTTTCTTCATTTTTTTTATTAAACTGCATTCCACATTCCAATTGATTTTGAACACTAGAGGATGCATTTGGGCATGCGACAGCCCAGTGATTGAGCTGAAAACATCTGATGCACAAACAAGGTAGCTCTTCTGTTCCATTATATGAACTGATATTTCTTAAAAGATATTCAAGCTCATTATCTGCTATCTCTGAACAATTTCGCAAATGGTGACCTTTCTTGCCACAAAAGAAGCAAGCGATGGTTGCACAAGCTGCATTATCTGTTACATGCGGTGGCATGATGTGTTTAAAGGCATTCAGTTTCCTTGCAAAGCCAGAAGGCAATGAACTTTTGAATCTTTCGGAAGGTAAAATGGGGTTCAGTTTTGAAACGGACTTCTGATCATTATGGCCTTTTATCCTATTAAAACCTACAGAAGTCTCAATTTCAGGTGCACAACTCTCTGACTCTTGAGCAAAACCAATAGGTGAATCCTCAATGGTGAGTGGCCCAGTTTCCACAATATTGAGGTCATTGTAATGACTACTATGGTAATTAGTGACGCATTCATGTGCTACACTAGAACCTTGGAGATTTAACAAGTGCAAAGAGCTTTTTGGAGTAAATCGAGTTATCCACAAGCTTCCCAGAGGATCATTCCCGTGACCAAAATTATGAGTTGTCTTCACTTCAGATAGTGGCTCAGAATTAGTGTTCTGAGTACAGCTTGTCTTATGTTTATCCATAGAGGAATTGGAAGTTGCTCCTCCTCTCACCTTACCAGATGTCATGTTACATGAATTTTTGTTCCCTTTGCTGTTTTTACGGCTGCAAGCAAAATTAGCAGAGGAGATCTTAGGTTGAATTGCTGGATCTGCTCCCTTTCCTGATGTAGATTCAGTGAAATTATCATTTGAAATCCGAAATTGTTTGCACAAGTTATTGTTGTGACCGTGACAGGCTATTGGAGTTGCAAAACTTATGTCACATAGTCTGTTGCCCAGCTCAAGTTCTGTTTGATAATTGTTATCCAGTGTCTTTTCCAGAACTTTTGTGTTTGGACAATATAATGACTGAAAAATAGACTGAAAGCCCACATTTCTGCAACCAGAACCCTGGTTTTTGTTGTACGTGATAAGTTTGTGGTCAGGACTTTCATGATCATGATTAGGATGTGCAAGGGTATGAGCAAGAGAAGGAATCACCTCTTGACTTGATTTTGAGAAACCCTTCATCATGTTAGATATCCACTTCATGAAGGAGCTATCCTGTTTAGTGTGTGATGCAGAACCAGGACTTTCATGAATTTGTTTTTTGACTCTTTTACTCCCCACAATCAACTGCTGCTCAAAGTTCCATCGCTTCTTGCCTGTTGAAAATAATCCAGTGCTGTTACAGCTTTCAACACTCTCATGGCTGTCATTTTCCTCTTTTGACATTCTTCCATTGACATCTCCATCTGATAGAGCCTTTTCCTTGCCTTTCCTTCGAAACATTGGGATTCTGCTATTAGTGGGAGAATCCTCGTCTGAAACAGTCTTGTCTTTAGGAATTATCTCCTCATTCTGCTGTGAGCTGTATTTAATACCAAGAGCAGATTCTGAAGCTAGAATCTTCTTTTCTGCACCATGGACATTTTCACTAATAAGAGTTTGTACATCATTCTCAGAAATGGACTCTAGTCTCTCCAAAGGATGAACCCCGATTGTCATTGCCACCTTACCTTTGCTCTCTTTTCCCAGAAAGGGAGCAGATCCTTCATGTCCTCTGCCCGGGGATGCTAACACTATAGTGTTATTACCTTCACATTCTTTTGTGGGGTGAACTTCAGAATCCAAAACGATTACCATTGCGGATGTCTGATTCTCATGACCAAAATCTCTGCCTCCAACAGTAGGATTCCAAGATGATGGTTCATTTCGTACAACATCAAGTTCAACTTCGTCTGCTTTGATTGATAAAAGATCACATTAGTGACAATTCATATTTAGAGAACAAAAAAATAAAAAGAAGAAGAAGAAAGTAAAGAACAGACAAAAAAACAAAGATGCCTTATCTTCTGATACTGTCTTACATTCATTTTCCAGAACAATATAAATGGATAAATTTCAATAATGCAACCTATTAATGCTTTCTACAAGACTACAACCATCATCCAAGAACACTGTCTGATAGCATCCAAAAAATAAAAAAAAAAAATTCATTGGAGAACATATACACTGTTGATTCCAATTCCTTAAATCATGCTTCTCATTATTTTGAACTGATATTCCTAACACAGTACTCATTTCTACCATATAACATCAAGTTTCATCCAAACAAGAGTTTCTTGACCATTGTAATAAATAGTTTTGGGATGAAGGAAAAGCAAAAGTATATAGGACTGAAATTATAGTTTTGAAATTTATCATGAGTTCAAAATCTCCAATACTCCTAACATGATTAATCCTAACCTGTCACGTCTTCACGACCCAATCCACATACAGGCTTGACAGCAGCATCACTTTCAGGAGTCCTGGCTGAAGGATCTCTATCAGCCATTTCACTTCTCACATGAAAAGTACCTTGAGAAACTATGAAATTATCTTTATTTATAAGTTTGTCAGTGCTGGATCTCCCAGCTGTAAGGTTTTGGGATGGTGAAAGAACTATGTTGCTCGGTCCTGCATACCATAAAAGAGAGGATTTTTTGTCGGTGAAACTGCAATCAGCACATTTCAGACTAACACCATTCTGTGGAGACCAAACTAGCTCAGAGAGGGGATCCGAGGCCCCAAATTTCATATCTACCCTTGAACCTGCATTTGCACCTGCACCTGCTTCTGCACCTGAATCCTTGTTCTACTTTCTCTGAGTGCATTGACTGGAATAACCCAATGCAAGTCCTAAGTCAGTCACTGGTTCAATGTTCCCATTCCCCATATTCATCCTCAGCTGGATGAACCCCTAGGACAATCCTGAAACACCAAAAAAATTAGGCAAACTGTTGAAAAATTGGGATATTTTGTTCTAATCATGGTAAAGCACATGTTTTTTCTACAATGTAATTAAAACATTACAGAAGTCATGAACTGGACTATGACAACCACATTGCCAATGTTACATGCTCCAAACATCAGGCTGATACTGTGATACATATAATATATGTGTGAAAACTTGGAGACTTTTGGTTTGCAAATAGTTATTTGCAAGAATAACAAAATTGTTCTTGAAAAATAATTGATTAATAATTTGCATTAGAGCCGCAACTACCACTGAACTGAACTGTTTACAAAAAGATCAACACAAAACCTCCACCATAGTTAAATCTTGAAAGTTAGTTTAAAGAACACTAATTTTCAAAAAATACTTGGCCAGGATAATTTTATCTTCAAACAAACATAAACCATTAAACAATTTAAGCAACATATACATTGAAAATACAGATCTAAATTCTAAGTCGCTCCTAAAAAACCTGACTAGGATGAATTTTGATGAATTAATCGACCCTCTGCATGTTCAAAAGAACATACAAACTCTAAACATGCACGTAAATAATCTGAGAAAATAAGGAACACAAACAGTTTTTAAAAATATAACCTATTTCATGAGCCAAATTATTTATATGAACCACAAAAGTTGACCTGAATAGTGAATATAATAAAAAAATTCTCTCAAACTAAAAACCACTAAAATTAAGACTGGAAAATTGGGTACAAATTTTAAAATAGGCACCATCATCTTTAATCAAACACAAGCAACAGAGAAACCAAGGGTTGAGGCAATACAGTTAAGGCAAGAACATCAAAATCAAGAGATACCCAGTTGAGAAAAAACATGATCTAATCCAAAGATAGTATTAAATACCTCTTCTTAAACTCCATGGAGAAGTTTACCTTCGTTGTGCTTCTCCTTTCACCACGGACCACCGAACAACCAAAGAACAAACAGAAAGAAGTAAAAAAAAAAACGAATTTCTGAGCGATAGAGAGCAAGAGAAAGAAAGAGAGAGAGTTTCAAGAGTCAGTGAGTCACCACCACAAGCCGAAGGACTACAGTTACATGAAGCTGGTGCTGTCTGCTAGCTCTTTTTCAGAGATTCTAATGTATGAGGTTGATAACATGCAACGTGGACACGCTCCATGCCAATAAACACTAAATGTCAGACTTATATTTTATACTCGATTATCTACTTTTAGCAAATTTTACTGCAACAAAACTGTACATCAAAGTCAAAACTCAAACCTGCAACTTTTTTGGGACTTCAAAGTCAAAACCAACCAAACTGGTTTCAGGAAGAAAACAAACAGAAAGATATAGGAGATTTCAGATTTTGCTTCAGGAACGTTAAAACAACACAAACTGGTTACATTGCAAGCACAAAAGAAGAAGATAATGTCTCAAAATAGTACGATCATGCAACATTTTTAGGCCTTAAAATGCAGTAAAAAATGGTTATTCTTACAAAAAAAAAAAAAAGCTTATTCTTCTTCACGTGACACTTTAGAAAGCCTAGATTCATGATTCGTTGGGTCCCTTGCGTCCTTTTATATTTGTTAATTAATCTTATTTAATCATGCTAATTAATAGTAAAATTAGAAATAAATTTAGATCCAATAAGGTAACCTTAGACAAAATATTCTGGTGTTGAATATTCATTGTGAGCCAAGAGCCAACCATTTTATGAAACGCAAAAGAAGTAGAATCACAACTCACAAGAGAGGTACCATAACACAAGTATTTTATTTTTATTTTTAATGTTTCATGGTCTCAAAACAGACACTTCCCAGATCCCAACTTTCTGAAATGGAATTTTAAACAAAGGAGAAAGCAGCTAGAGCTAAGAAACAACCAAAAGAAAATAATGTGCTTCCACTACAACACAAGATTACAAATGAGAATAAGAACTTTGTTTTAAAAGTTGGTTGGTAGTACTAGTATACACACACGTACGTATATATTTGGAGGGTTAAAACTTTTAACGTGAAGAAGGGAACATATATAGAAGATCACATAAGGAAGATGAAGCAATTTTGACAAATTGAATGACGTTGAAGCCATTGATATTGATAAGGTGGACCCTGTTTTTCAAATCATATTAAATTTAAGATTACGGTTCTGGTCCTGTATCAACCACCAAATCCAGCGTCTTGACAATATTGCACCACTGAATCAGCTTCTATCTAACATTTAAAGTGGGATATTCTCTTTCAAGCTTGTCTATCCACAGACACATTGGATGAGGCAACTAAGAACCATTCATTTGTTTTCTTTTGTAGAATAATCCACTTTATAAATGTCCTTTCACCACAAAGGTTTTTGCTAAGATTGGTACTTGGGAAGCTTTGTCAATGATAATGACCATTTTGATAATGTTTAATGGAGTTTTAAACTACCCATTTCCACTTAATTAAAGACTTGACTAACCAGTTGTCATTGCTACATGAAATTAAAGTTTGATTATTTTTCTTTTTTTAAACTTTTGAAGAGGAATCACACACACAGTTGCCTTTAAAGGTTCATTATACATGTGGTTTAATTAAGAAGTAATTAAGATGAAAGAATTATTCATTAATAATGAAAAAGGGTAAAAGAAAGCCTAGACAGATCTTTCCTGTACAATATATAAATAGTGTGGACTGATGAGTGGTCTCACTCAGCCATTAATGGAGAGTTTGATGAATGCAGATGGATACAGTGGTGAAAAAGAAAAATAATTAATGTTTGGTTTTTTTTTTTCTTTGGGTAACTAGAGGTGTTGGCCAGTTTGCACCTATTTCTTGAAGCTGGTAAGTTAATGATATGACAAATCTTGAAGTTAACGACAAATCTATAGTGATCACAAAATTTAGAACCTCTTAAATAATATATTTGAGAATTTTTTATTAAAATAATTAACTACCTGTAGTTGGTTTTAATGCTAGGTTTTGAGATTGAATAAAGGAGAAACATGTATTAATATGAATAATTATGATTTCTTAGAAGAACAAAAAAAAATTATGCGATAAAATCCCATTTAATTCTCTTGCTTATTTTCTCATGACCAAAACACATTGACTGGATATCGCTGTAAAGTTCCACACTTAGCGCTAACTCTTCATCACAAGAATGGTGTCAAACTAAAGCTTCAAAATCGCTTTAGCATGAGTTAATTAATAATTACTATGGAATTTTGGGAAAAAGAAATGTCAACTGAATATCATTGATTGTGCTCAAACTTATCTGTTAGGCAGCATTATTGACAAATAGGCCCACCCTTCTGCAATGTCATGCTAAGTCTAGACTCTAGACTCATCTATTGGGCCCAGATCCAGTTAAGGCTAACTTTAGTATGACAATGTTGACTATTTAGGCCGGCAATCGGCATCCCCCAGCCCCACACCTACAATATTAATGCTCCATATCACAAACCACCATCATTTTCATCAAAATTGACTAAATATAGTCTTTTATTCAAGCTTCAAGGTAATATTATGGAACTCTAAACCTTCAGTATTCAAATAATCCTATATATATATATATTCAGAACAGAAACTGATCAGTATCTAAAGTAAAAACAGAGAACGTAGTCTTCACTTGATGAAAGGAGTGACCCAATACATTTGATGCCTATATAGAAAAATAACTGATATGTATTAATCTTAATTAAAATAATTGATGCATCAACGTGAGTAAAATTTTAAATGACACTCAGAATTTTATAGACACAAGGTCTTCGCTGGAAAAACGTTTACCGCTGGGCAATCCTCCGACCAGCTCCAAGCAACAACACCTTCCCAAGTGCACCTGAATGGAGTCCACAAACCAGAGCCACGGTTCCACCAATTACTATCCATTTCCAATCAATGCCATGATCTCTCTGACTTCTGGGGCCCACAACCTGCCCTTTTTCTTCTTCACCGGAAGCTGGATCCAAATAGTCCATGCTTCCATCAAAAGAAATTTTTGTCGTGATTCTTGCCATGAGTGCACTTCTAGACAATGAAGCCTCTGATTTCCTGGCGTTCTGATATGCTCTCATGCCTGAATGCAATTTCTTCACAGCTCCCCACATCCCATGTCGCACACCCAACTTCGCCACATCTTTGGGTATACCCATGTCTTCATAATGGACAAGAGAAACCTCACATGCAGACAGCTGCCCATCTCCTTTCCGTGACTCCACTGCATTCATATTTCATGAAGAGGCATATTCAAAATTCATTAAAATTCAACTAACATATTCCAAAGCAATCAATTGTTTAACTGACAACTCACCAGCTCTGATAACCCAACTTGAGAAATAAAGCTCCACACGCCTTGGCTTATCACGCTTGGGCAAACCTGGATATGGCACCGCCTGCAACATTGTAGGTTGTATATCAATATTTATTATCCACATGCTAAAATATAGAGTAAAACAGAAGACACGAGTTATTATAGTTTATAGTCCAAACTTCTATGCCACAGAATACAGACAGATGCAAACAATATATGGTACAACAACCTTATCAAGTAACTATAGGATAATCGTATAATTCAATCAAACAATAATTATAATAAGGTCAAGTAGAGGTGTCTTTCAAACATCTCTTAATGGGAAAATAATACAGTTACTGAAAGGAGTGCACCGAATGACGTGACGCAATTTTGACCGTCGATTAATTATAAGTTAATATTAATCGACGGTCAGGATTGCGCCACGTCATTCGGTGCATGAATTCGGTGCGCTCCTTTCGGTAACTGTAGCATTACTCCTCTTAATGAAATACACTGAACTAGTAGTTAGCCTTGACCTTTCAAGCCACACAAATGATTAGAATGCAGGTTTAACTGCACTTGTTACTGGATCCACAAATCCTAAATCTGGGAGTCTAAACTCCAACCAGTACCTTGGTCACACAATAATAAGTCTTTCCAGCCTCCCATATTCTCCTACCAATGACATATTCTCGATCACTGCAGAAAAAAGGGAACTACAAAAAGGAGTAAAACAAGTCAACATAAATATAATATTTGAACAAGAAAGTGACATGGCAAAACCAAGGTATCACAGATATGCAGATCAACTGCTCCCCAAACCTTTTTTATCCAGTGAACAACCATTGTCCCAGTATGAGGGCACTCCTCCAATATTTTAAAGTATGTAAGCATAGGATCCCACTTTGGTCGAAACTCATCATCCCAAAAGAAATCTCTGACCAACTCTGGAGTTGCACCCTCAAAGACAGTTCTACTACGGTAAACTGTAGGACCTGTCTGATAGACAAAATCATCATCAGCTACTAGAATATGATTTAGTCAATACCGCCACCGAACAGCAAAAAACACAATGAAGAAAACTGGATCGATATGATCCATGATAACATGTACAATGATATTGTATACCAAAAGAGATAGGCAAGTTAGGACCCAACATTGGGCAGCTTTAAGTCCCAAAAATAAGTATAGACCGAGTTGGAAAAGCAGTCTTCATTTTACTCTAGAATAAACATCCAGCCCATCATACTTCATCAACTAGGCTCATAAATGAAAAGATGGTAACCAAAAGAGAAAAAAAAATCACAACCAAAAGAGAAAAAAAAAATCAGAAGGAATGGTTAAAGATAAGCCGCAAACTATGTATTTACCTTCCATTAACATATTTCCATAAAGAAGAATTAATATTGAGGCTACATTTTCAGCAGAGTAAAGAGAAGAAAATATAGCAGACAAGGGGAGAAAAATGAGAATCTACCTCAGGCTCATGGCGCCAAGCTTGGTATGTCATGTTTGGGTTGGACCTCTCCATCAGTCTTTGCCATTCCATCTCTCCATCCTTCCCTTCAAGTAGATGCAATAGGTGCTCTAAATCATTCTCTGTAACAACATCCTGCTCTCTCTCTACAGTTACACTACTGGGGCTGCAGGAAAGAGAATTTTATAATATACATCATCATCATGATGACAACAGTAAGATTCCTACAATAATGATGTGATGTAACTAAAAACAAAATATTAATAACATTTCTTGATCTCAACACATTATTAATATATTCTCTTTTCTTTGCATTTTCCCAAAAAAAGTATTAATGAAATGAAGATTTTATAGGTGGCTTATCGAACCCATGCACAAACAAGCTTTATGGTTGTCATTATATCTTCTGGATCATTATTTAAAAAATGACTAGATAACCATACTACATAGACTATATCGATGCCTAAAACTTGACCTTTCAGTTAGAAACACATATTGAACATTAAAAACATACCATGCATTCGCACTAGTGGCACTAACTATAAGGTCCAAAACTTTGTGTGGGTTTTGGTGCAAGGCAACATTAATACAAGTCAAGTGATCCAAAGAAAGTATCCTATGAGTCTTTCTCTTTCTGGACGTGTAATGTGTAAAACAAAAGATATCTCTAAATCATCTTTTCCTTCATTGTGATGGTGTCTCAAATTCCTCGGTTAAAACTTGTACAAAAGCTAGGATGAGATGGGCCATTTCAGCTTCTTGTGACAGTTCTTATGGACAATGTTGCTGCTTTTGGGAGAGGAAAGAAAAACCAAAACTTTTTGGGGACAAGTTGTTTTAGCTATTCTATGGGTGATTTAGCTAAAAGAAATTATCGGTTTTAATCATGTAATATACTATAAAAATGATTAGCAACACTTCTATTTTTTTTACCTCTGAAAAGCATAAATTAGAATTCTACATGAAAACTCTATAGATGGATTTTTCTAACCCCATGTGACTGGGCAAACGAACTGTATGTCTATTGTTAAACACCCAAAGTATAATTTTAAAAATTGACAAGTTCCCAGTTAAAATTAGACCAAAGCAAAGACTCACAGCTTGACAATTTATATAAGAGGAACGTAATTAAACAATAAAGATCTGCCCATCATTGCCAACAGATACACTAGGGTCATTAATACAAGCACCAATCTCCTAAAGATTAATTTAAATCTAGTAAGAAAACATCGCAAAAATTATATACAATTAATCATCCATCTCAAAGATTCAATATATAATTTGAGAGCAAACATCAACTAGTTCAACACCACCATATATTCACTGACCACATCACGATCAACTGATAACATCAAGAAAGGACCAAGATCCTAACCATCAAATTATCTATGCAGCACAGTCCCATTCACCAAAAATATTCAGTACAAGAGTTGGAACAACATTATAAGCAAAATTTGTCACTTCCCAATTTTAATTGCTTCAATGCTTAAAAACTTGACTTAAAAAATCATCCTGAATAATAATTTATGCACAGACACAGAGGCAATACCTGAGGCTCAACTAAGAAGAAAAGACCCTAGCAGCATTCATACCAATAGGCAATAGGCTAAGCTTTAGTTGTACATTGAAATTAGCAACAGCATAATCACAAATTTAAACACTAAAGATAATAACTTAATCACACACCATTTTTTTTTTTTTTTTTTCAGAAATGAATAACAAGACAAGATTACATTTCATTGGTGACCTAAAAAAACCCCAACTTAATACCAAGATTTTAAAACTCAAAGTTTAACACTAACCTTATATCATCGCCGCTTCCCACCGCGGCCATCGGCGCAGGCACCGGACCGGAAGCAGATTTCACGCTTTTACTTTTGAAATTATTCCAAAGCGCGCGGCAAGCCGAGACAGCCGAAAGAGCCGTAACAGCGAGCCACAGCCTACGAGCACCGAACCCGGGCGGCGCGGTCCAGATGAACCTGAATTTGCTCCGGACACCCAGGAACACCAATCCGGTCCATCTCGGCCGCCACGACCAGCCGATCACCATGCCAATCATCACGGCCAGCCAAATAGGTACTGCACATAGCAGAATGTCGACAAATGTTTCGGTTATCGAAGGTCTCTTCAAAAACTCCATCATATCAAAGAAGATCTCGTCCATCTCGAAAATTTTCCCAAGAAAATTAAAAATTTTCCGAGAACATTTAGCTTATCCAAAAAAATTAGTTTACATTAGTTGTGCGCGACTGCGTACGAGATCTAAAGAGAGAGAGACAGAAGAGCGCGAGAGGTTTTTACAGAGAGAGAAAATCCAAGTGGTGATTTCGACAGAACGGTGAAATGAAGTGGCAGTTTGAGGACCGTTGATGGAGGTTTAGTTTGGTGTAAAGAGCACGTGGAATAGTCTCAAGTCTCAACGACATTGTGCTGTATTCTTGGAAGGTGATGTGCACGCGAGGAATGGAGCGTGATAAATTAGAGGATAATGAATGGATTAGTTATTGGTTTAGGCAAAACTCGGAAAGAAAGAAGAAGATGCTTTTACTGTTTGTGAGATATTCGATGGTACAAAATTCCCTGTTGTTCGGTTGTTGGATTGACAGTTGGTGTCCAATAATGAAGTGCCGCGTGGAACTATAATAAATTTGTTTTATTTTACAAGAAAGCTACGGATACTGGAAAATTTGTACCAAAAATGTGTATCGATCTACGTGTACCAGGCACCTGAATTTTTTAATAATTTTTTTCTAGTGAACAGTCGTCCATCAATATGGACGGCCGTTCACTCACATGGACTCATGTCCATATTATATGGAAGGGGGGTCCATATACCAGGAACGGGCGTCCCCATTTAAAGGACGCCTGTTCATAAATAAAATACAATAAAATTTTTTTATAAACATTAGGGACGGTCGTCCACTAATTGTGGACGGCCGTCTCTTACGTTTGGACGGGCGCTCGTAAGAAATGGACGCCCGTCCTTGACCTAAATATGAAAAAAAAAAAACTTTGGGGACGCCCGTCCACCAATTGTGGACGGCTGTCCCTTACTTTTTTACAGACATCCATAAGAAATGGAAGCCGGTCCATTATTTTGGTTTTACAAATCAAAAAAGAAAATATTTGGACGGCTGTCCAAAAATTATGGATGGTCATCCTTTCACTGTGGACGGCCGTCCATTCTTTGGTTTCAAATAAAAAATAAAAAATATGGACGACCGTCCATTAATTGTGGACGGGCGTCCGTAAGTGATGGACGCCTGTCCATTATGTGAAGGACGACCATCCCTAAGTAATGGACGACCGTCCATTATGTAAAGGACGACCGTTAAAATTTAAAAAAAAAGTTCACCATATTAGGTTAAAAAATTTGGGGAAATTTCTAAACAACAAAGCTACAGCCATTACCATCTTCTTCGTCTTCCATCTGCGGGCTTGCTTGTTCTTCGTCTTTGCGTCTTCGTCTGCGTCTTCTGCAGTTGTTCTTCGTCTTCCTCATCTGCCATTGGTAATTAGACACTTTCGTTTTTCAATTTTTTTCTTTTTTGTTGGATGAATGTGTTGGATTCTAAGTTGGATGAAGTTGAGTTAAAATCTAGTCAATTTGGTAGGACTAGTTTGTGTGATTGATAGAAGTGTTCTGCCATAGCAATGTAGGGGTTAATTAAATATTAAGTTGTATAGGGATGTTTCAATTGATTCATTGTTTGATTCAGTGCTCCATAGCATCCGAACCCTCTTTCAATGTTTATTTTCCTTTGTGGTGATGTTCAGTGCAAACGGAAAGTTGCCTTTCTTAAATGCTAAAAATTATACCAGAAGTAGTTTCATTCACATGTTTTGCCTAAAATTTTCGTTATTCTAAGTTATCCTGACATACATGTCCACTGAAAACAACGTCAATACCATATGAGTAAAGTAATTCTTCCATCTCCACTCTCATACACTCTGCTTCTCTGTAATGAGCTATGTACGCTTAAGTGCATATATAATGATACATATATAAAGCAGTACCCTTTGAAGTGATTAATGTCATTAAAATATAATGATACATATATAAAGCAATACCCTTTGAAGTGATAACCTGTCTAAGGTAATATAAAATTATGGGTCCAGACTTTGGTCCAATTTAAAAAGTAAGAAACCCCTATAATTGATAATTAACCATTTAAACTTGGTCCGGAATATGTGGCGATTTTATAAATAACACCTGCTTGAAAGGGATTTAGGCATACTTTTCATTATCTTTCTCACCTAATTTGGAAACTATGGTTATTTTGTCTGTTAGGTATGGATTGTGTGTCACAAGAAAATCATTTTGAGTATGTTCTGCATTGTGTGTGGTTATTGTGTGTCTTTCTGTTTTTGGATGGAAAGATTTGCACACTTTGTTTGACATATAGTGATTACTTCGAAAAATGCTAATGAATTCTATTAAAATTTTCAACCTGTCTATTTAATAATTAGTCTAGAGTAATAGACAACCCTTAGTTCGAATAATATTATCTTAGACATGATTTACAATGCCTGTCTCTTGCTTTATCCTAGAATTATGCAATTTGTTTTCTAGTGAGAGAAATAACATGATTATACGGAAGTCATAAAACTATGAGCTTTATAATCTTAAGATGCTCTAGTTTTCTATTCTAACTTCTCTGTCTGTAGTTTCCTGCTGCTCATAAACCTGAGGGCAAGAAGATATGCAAACACTATGTCCAAAGGGGGCTAGGTTTAGGATGCTCTCTAGATGATAACCATGTGCCAGAAACAGCATAGAATGGGCCCTTGATTGTTTGTATTACTTGACTAGTTGCTCAAAAAGATCTTCATTGATTACTCATGCAATTAAGCGTATTGAAGAACTTCTCATGTCATCTTTGATATTATCAGGTCCATTTGCAGTCCATGGTGTTTTTCAGTTCAAATTAGTATTTTCGATAAAGTTTGATATATTGTGTTATAATTTAAAAAGGCTTAGAGAATGAACATAAATGTGTCTTTGATTTGTTTGAAAAACAAATGAGACTTTATATGTTTATGAAAAGTTTCGAACAAGCCGATATTTGTATGTTGGTTTAGGTTTGGCAGATTATGATGACGACTTTTTTATGCATATAGGTTTTAGAAGAAAGTAGAAAATGGTGAGGGCAAAAAATACAACCATTCCTCTTGAAGGCACGTCATCATCTGCAATTCAATTTCGAGACTTGCGACATAAAAAACAATACGAGGACGTATCGAAAAGAGATATTTGCCTTGGAAAAAGTTTGGATTTAGGACTTCTAACAAGTTTAGGTTTAGGTGATGAAATCAATGGTTGGATTAATAATTTGAAATGGGACCGTTTGGTCAGTATGAGATATGATGGATATAGACATTTGATATATGAGTTTTTTGGTAGTTTGGAAGTTGCAGACACAGATAGTTATCAGTTTCAGGCGTATACAATGTTCTTTAGATTAAAGAATCAGAACTTTGTAGTGACACCACAAGATTTAGCAACCTGGATAGGATTTGATTGTGAAGGTTTGGAAAACGTATCTAGAACCTGGGATTCCAAACAAGCTTGGATTGATATTTCCGGGATAGGGACTTACCATCCACATAGGTGTAAATCTACAAAGTTACAGAATTCTGCTATGAGAGCATTTCACAGATACCTGACTTTCACATTTAATGGTAGGAAAGAGACAAACAGAAATGTGACGGTTAAGGATTTAATGTTCATGGAAGCAGTAGTAGCAGGGAGGCAAGTTAATTCAGCGAAGTTATTGATTAAGAAGTTGGGAGAGATCACCGCAGAAAAAGGAGAAATATATTGGAGGATGCTTGTTACGTTAATATGTGAGAAGTTGAATATTGAGATCACCCCTGATGATGCAACAAATAAGATTACGTTTTCTACAAATAATGTGTTAGGGGATGTGACATTGAATAAGATGGGTTTGATTAAAAAGAATATGGCAGGACAATGGTTTCTGATTAGGGATGAAATGGAGGGAGATGCAACGGTTCAGGAAGGTGTCAGTATTCTAGAAGGGGTTAATGAAGGACAAGTCTATGTGAGCAAAAAAAGAAGAACGAGTACTGAACCTGGACCATCTGAGAATGTAAAAGATATGCCTTCTCATACTTTACAGGAAATAGAAAGCAGATTTGAGCGGATGGAAAAGTTTCAAGAGGAGCGTTTTTCACGTATTGAGAGGCAAATGCAAGAACAACATGATCAATTGCAAAGTGATTTCAACACGTTTGCAACAAGAATTGAAGAAACAGTTGACATCATTGGGGACCGCATGACAGAGATTTTCAGCATGATGAAGAACTTCTCAACAGCGTCCTCATCCTCTAGTCAACCTCCACCCCCTGCACTATGATGAATAATTTTTCCCTTTTGTTTATAAATAGATTGATTTGAGCAGATGTTGTTAATAAAGATTGTATTTTGTTTATAAATAAATTTGTCTTTTGTTTATAAATAGATTTGTCTTTTGTTTATACATATGTCAACAACTCTTTTCAATGTATATGTATATGTAATACTAGAAATACCGAAAGACATAAAAATTCAAATCTCAAAAGAAATGCATATCCAAAATGCCATGTACAACCGGAGTCTACAATGTGACGATAATATATATTGAAAACATTCATAATAAGTTACATTAACGTCATTATCATGAATTCACTACCCTACACAACCAATGACGAAAATACTAAAAATAAAACAACTATATAAGCATACAACTAAAATGCATTCAGTAGAAATTAACCAAAGCATGAAAAATTTCTACCAAATACAATTCTATATGCTTCAACATGACAAAAATAACAAACATCTCCAAACGAGAAATGTTAATCATTTACAAACTCCTGTCCAGTATAGAAATTACTTTGTCCTGCGAGATTTGGAACCAGACCAGTGGACATCTGTCATTGTTTAACAACCACAATTCAGCACACGTTATGGAAAACTTAAGGCAATTACAATTATACAAGATACATAACACATACCTGTGTAGTAACAACATCGTTCGACAATACTTGAGTTTCCGCATCGGCCACGGAAGTACATGAAAGAAACTATTCCTTTTGTCACTGTATCGATGATCCTTTTCCTAAAAAGTATCATAACACATTAATAATCAAGTCAATATTATTCTAAACTTCAAATAAGTAAATAATGTTTCAAAAAAAAAAATACTCAAATAATGTATAAGTCATACCAATTCTTTGTTTTTGTAATTTTTTCTTTTTAACCCTACGTACAATTTCTTCAATCTTCGATTGCTTTCTTCTACATGGAGGACGACCTTTGCTACGAGCTGCCTGTGGACTAATGATTAGGGTATT